ATGATGCTTGTGCGTATATTTTGGTTATTTCAGATTTGCTCTCCAGAATCCGCCTGTGTAGGAGGACACTCCGCCACGCGCCGAGGGGGGGGGGGGGCGAGGGCTTCTCAGAAGCACCCTGCTTCTGAGACCGAAGCAGCCTCCTTCTGAGAAGCCCTCCCCCCTCCCCTCCTCCCCCTTGTGCGCACCGCCAAGACACGCCCGACCGAGCCCTCAGAGTGGCGCGAGGAGCCCGGGACACCCTGGGCCCAGAACCACCTTTCAGTCGGGCCTGTCCCTCTACAGGGGGAATGTTCAAACATAGTCCAAAAGTAGTCGGGGGATTATTTGGATTATTTCTGAACATTTTTGTTATTTTTATTTTTGAGTTTTTTTCAACGAATTTCGCCCAAAATCCCCCTGTGGGGGGACAGGCCCGACCTCACACCACCTCTGGCATCACACCCGACCTCGGGAGCTTGGCGGGCCTGCGCCGCGCCGCGCTCCTTTTTGGTTGGATGTCGGATGCAGTTCCTGGGAGGCCCAGTCTGGCCTGAAGTCGGGCCTGCCCCTCCACAGGAGGAAGGTTCAAAAATAGGCACAACAATAGTCTGGGGACGCCATGCTCCAACTATGTTTGACCATGCCTGAGCACCGTGTGACAAATTGTCATGTTTCTAGAGCAACACCCGCCCGTAGGAGGACACGCCCGGTCTGAGTCTGGCATTCTCCCAGTTTGATTCCGTTTAATCCGGCGGACTCCCCCTCAATCCACTGGCCAATTTGGCGTAGCAGCCTCATGGGGCTTCTCTCGCCCTAGTCCTTCCGACGAAGACCTCCCAGTAGTTGCCTCCTACTGGAATCACCGCGGTGGTTGCTAAGTGGATACGGGTTTACAAGTGGATGCCGAGGTGGTGTGTGTATCTATATATATATATATATATATATATATATATGTATATATGGCCAAACCCAGCTGATTAGTGGGTTACAAGTGCGCAAAATGGCCTGGCGGGGGTGAGGATCTGGGCTAAGTGGGCTCCGCCCACTTATGAGAGTTGTCGAACCCACCCAGGCCACTCAGAGCATTCGTAAATCACCACCCAGTCAAGCTGCACAGAGAGATCTGCGTTCAAGACGCCACTTCTTTAGTGGAGAGTTTAAACATCCACCGCACGCCCAAACAGTGGGCAGCTCGCAGCCGCAGGGGGCGGCCAAGACATCAATGGGCTGACCAAGGTTACAAACTTATGCGATGACATGTCAATGTGTTTGTGTCTTTTCCTCCTCTCCTCCTCTCCGTCTTCCGTTCTTTTCTCTTGGCGGACGCGCGCCCGCGAAAGTGTGCCAAAGAGCTCGCGATTTCTCTTGCCGGCGCGCCGGTGGGCGAATGGCTTCTGGACTGGATAAGCTAGGTTGGGCCTGCTATACTCCACCTCGGCATCCGCTCGTAAACCCCTACCCGTCTAGCAATCACCGCGGTGATCCAAGTAGCCTCCCAAGGGTACCCTTGAATCCTTGCCTCATCGGTCCATCCTTGGCCACTCTCGTTGGCCGCGCCCCGCTCGAAAAGCTTCGAGATGGCCTCCCGAGGCCCTTGCACACTTCTCGCGCATGCTCACGATGCGGGCCGACTGCCACTCTTCCGACGAAGACCTCCCAGCAGCTGCCTCCGAACCGTCCTCCTCCGCCCCCCCCTCTCTCCCCCCCCTCTGCCCACAGGCCGCCGAGGGCCCCCGGGCCCCCGCCACCTATCCCGCGGCGGGGGTTGGTGTCTGCAGGGGGTCGGTCTGCGTCGGTGCCCCCGAAAGCGGGCCGGCGGCGCCCGGCGCGGGCGTGCTTTGGGCGCCGCGGCGCGGGCTCCCGAGGCAGCAGCACCCCTCGAAGTCGAGCGGCAGCTTCTCCCGCGACGTGGCGGCGCCCCAGGGCCCCCCAACAGTTTCAAGGTTCGCGGCGAAGCTGGCGACTGCAAGCACAAAGATCGGACCCCGTGGGCCGCGTCTCTCGCGCGCCGATCCGCATCTCACGAGCTTGCGTTTGGGCTCGAGGAGGGCTGCAGGACGTTTTGCCCGAAGCATGGGTTGCAGGACGGTCCCTTGCCAGGTCCACCCGTCCACCGCCAGGATAATTATGTCCACATCCGCTGCCGCGGGGTCGTGGACTGGGACATCTCAGGGAGTGGTTGATGTGGATCGTCTGCGCGCCCGCGTGGGCGGGCAGATATCTCCATATAGCTGCTGCTCACCGAACCCCCGGGCACCATCCTGCGGCAGTGGATATGGGCATAACCGCATGCCGATGATAATAAAGGGACCCCCCCCCCTTCAGTGTTTAGAGTTGATTATCGTCGCCCTATACAAAATTCAAATTGGGCGGCGAGCGCTGAGGCCGAACTTCATTATCACCTCGAAACGCTATGTTGAGATAGCAACATCAAGTTATTCTGGCGGCGCAGTCCCGGACGAGGAGACGTCGGACGTCGAGGAGGACGGAGGAGAAGCGGGCGAGGGATTTGGGCGAGTCGAGGAACAGAGCACGGCACGAGCAGGCGCGTTGGGAGGTCCGCGCGGGTCTCTTGGATCTGCGCTGGGCTCCCCTGCTCAGCGCCTCCGGCGCCGCCCCCTTGGCGCTCCGCGCGCCAGGGAGGGGAGCCCAGCGCCGATCCCAGAGATCCGCGCGGACCTCCGAAAGTTTTGTGTGCGCGGGCTTGCGCTCCTCTAGCAGATGTTCCCTCCCTCCCTCCTGCTCTGTCTTCGCTCCCCCGTCCCGTCCACCCCTGCGCCGCGGCGGAGGGAGGGAGGACAGGAGGGAAGAGGAGGGAGGAGAGGCCGAGGCCAGGGAAGCGGAGGTGAGCAGGGAGGAGGCGAGATGGACAAGCGAGGCAGCACTCTGCCCACCTGTGCACTGCCACGAGGTTGCCATGCGCAACCGTCGAGCACGCACGCGCACCGCGGCGGAGGGGGGGGCCCAGCGCCGATCCGAGGGAGCGACGACTGGGGAGCGTGCCGGCCCACGGCCGCAGCAGCTCCCAGGCGCACCAGCGCCCTGAAGTGCCAGAGTCCCCGATCCTCCCGGGGCCTCGACGAGCGTCACGGACCGCTGTTGCCGAGGGCGTCCCCTGGCCCAGGGTGTCCCTTCAGGGTTTCCAGGGAGGCCCCCAGGACCTCCAAGTCGGGCCCGTCCCTCTACAGGAGGAGCGTTCAAGAAGAGGCCAACCATTCTGGATCATTTGGGGATATGTTTTGGACTGTGCTTTATGTTCCGTCCACCACCTACCAAACCACCCCAACCCAACCCGAAGGCTCCGATTTGCCCCCCCTTTCCATGGGGGGGGTTGGGGAACATGGGAAAAAGACATATGAAGCCCGTACCCCCTCCAACTCCAAATTCGGATCTTCGGGTTGGGTTGGGGTGGTTTGGTAGGTAGTCATTGACGAACGCCACGGCCCGCTGTTGCTGAAGGTGTCCCTGGCCCAGGGTGCCCCCAGGATTTCCAGGGAGGCCCCCACGACCTCCGGAATCCTCTTGCGAAGGCCTCGCGGCCGGTGCCGCCAGCCCTGAAGATGAGGATGCTAACCACGGCGAGGCAGAAGAAGGAGAAGTAGGACGAGCCGGGGGAGGAGCCGCACGAGGAGGAGGAGGCCCAAGGTGTCCCCAGGATTTCCAGGGGGGCCCCTGGGACCTCCAGGAAAGCTTATTTGACAAGGCACGGAGGGCCCCACGGGGCTTCAGGGTGGAGCGAGGAGCCCAGGGACGCCTTGAGCCAGGGACACGTTTAGCACTAAGTCGGGCCTGTCCCTCTACAGGAGTGATGCTGAAACATAAAAAAGTATGGGGACTAGGTTTGACTAGTTTCGAACATTTTGGGAATATCTTCTGACATTTTTGAGTTTTTCACCCACAATCCACCTGTAGGGGGACAGGCCCGACCTAAGCTTAGCGACATGTCCATATCCACCGCTTCGGATTCTCGCCATGGGATGTCGAGGAGTCGTGGTTATGGATATCTGCCCGCGCGCACTGGCGGGTAGATAACCATACCCACCGCTCCCCGAGTCGCCAGGACACGACCGCGCTGCAGTGTATATGGACATATTGTAGTGGTGCAACTGGCGGCCTGATCTCGGCCAACATCAGACGAAACCGGTTGTCGGAAGGCTACGGTCGTCGTTCAGTGTTGGGCGGCCCGCGCGGTGTCGGATAACCAGCGCGCAGGTCGGCACCCTGTGAGCCAGCAGCAGGCAGTTTCAGGCTGCTCTCCCTGGCAGTCGTCTCAGTGGGATGCAGGCTCCTTCGCCGTGGCGGTTCTCGCTTGCGTGGCTGCCTTGCACGGGCCGTCCTCTCGATACTCTTCCGCACCCGGGGCTACGCGACCCGTCTCGCGATACGCGCGCGCGCTGCTTGCAAACAGAAGCGTGCGTCGCCCTTTCGGTCCTAGTGCTCGTGGGGCTTATGCTGTGGGGAAGATGCCGAGGGAGGGGGAGGAGGAAGAGGTGCCGCAGTGCAGCCCCCGTCGAGAACCAGGACCTGCCCTCCAAGCAGGTGCTTCCCGAGAGAGTAGCAGCGCATATTGATGGGGCACCTCGAGGCCCCCAGCCCACGTTGTTGTCTTCTGAGATCTCGTGCGTGCGCCCAGCGGCCGCGCAGTTGACGCCGAAGGGGCCGCGTCGGCACAGAGCTTACCATCACGGGGGCTGCCCAGCTTGCGAGCAGTCGTCAGGGGACCTCAGCCACGCGCAGAGGGGCCTCTTAGAAGCACCCCTGTTTCTCAGAAGGCGCGGGCCTTCTCTGTAGATGTAAGGCTGGCGCCTTCTGAGAAGCAGCCTCCTTCTAGGAGCCCTCCCCCCTCCCTCCACCCCCTTGTGCGCACCGCCAAGGACCGTGAGGGAGGCCGTGG